CATTGAAATCTTTATTCATTATATGCATTGGTAATTTGAAATTCTTGATATTGTGAAAAGGAAGAAATTATCTAGTCTTTGTTACACTTTAACACATTAAAATTGGAATACTCATCTTCCTCTTCTTTGTTTCGGAAAAGATACCTAAATTAGTTTTTTTCTAGCTTCATTCCTGTCCTTTTGATATTTATATTTCACTTGGTTGATGAGTCTTGAACCAATCGCAAGGAAATTTCCATATCCGAGCCGCATCCTTTTGTTCCCGTGTGTGAAGTGATGCTGTTACCATGGCAACTTCTGTATTCATGCCGAAAAATTACTCAAAGTAATGATATTGGAAGATTCTTTTATTTTATATAATTCTCTAGAATAGTAATTAAAATGGTTTTAAATTACGAATTTTCCTTTTAGTTACTTAATTCCAGAAAAATTATTTTAGTTTTGTCAGTAGATAAATGAAATTTGTGTGAATATTTAAGATATTTTTTTAAAGATATTCCGAATACTTTGGGATCTGAAACAAGTTTAATGTTACTAGAGTCATTTCGATTTCTGTCAAAAACGTCAAGCAAGTAATATCAAGGAATAAAGTGATATAAAAAAAAATGAAAAAGGTTCACAAATATATTTAAGGAAGGAAAAGATGCGATGATATAAGCCCGTGACATTGAAGAAGGATGAAAGCAATATATCCCACTAGCAGTAAAATTAACATAGAGATCGGTAAGAAGTCAGCACTTTTCTGTCAAAACGTTTATCTGTTTTTCGAATTTTAATCACAAAATATTCTTATCAACATTTTAATTTACGATACTTGTAAGTTCGGTATCCGTTATGAGAACGAAATGTTTAGAAACGGCTGATGAAAATTCCAATAAGACGTGGCTGGAAAATTATGATAGAAGCCTTGTACCATAATTTCTATATAAATTAAGAAGGCTTAAAATATTTTGAATCGAATTTTAATTAAAAATACGAGCCATCTTCTATTATGACTTCTAGCTCATTTCCATACATCAGTAAATGGAGGAAAATTTGACATATTTAATTCGACTAAACTCCAATTTCAGGTAAGCGTTTAAGTGGCAAACAAGGTAATAAATTCTTCTACAAAATGGGAAACAGAAACAGAATTTACTGACAATAAAGGCTATAGACCTCATGAATATGTATTTAAATTATTCCCGCGAATTTCATTATAAAGAAAAGAGATTGATCGCCTCATTTCTACTAACATTAAACCATTTACAAACAACTAAAATCATTTTATTTCGACAATAAATGGATTTTAACTGCTTCATCAGTTGAGAAAACAGGAACAAGTGGACAACGTCATACGCTTCCACTTCATTATTATCTCGATGATGTGGTACCACCTCCTAAACAACAGTAAACTTTCATATAAATGCTATTAGCTGGTATATCGTTTAGTTAATTGCAGACATTCAAACTAAGTTGACTAATGAGGAGGTCAGCTACTTGTTTTATGTTTCTGACGGAGTCGTAACAGCTGCCGAGAGGAAGAGAAGCGGAAATAAAAGTTTAGAAGCTTCTCCAACTCTCACAAGATTACAGAGAGATGCTGTGATTTACATCCTTAACTAAATTTTAAACAGTTTTTAATATGTTTACAAAGTCTATTTATTTAAACTTAACATTTATCAATGTTAATTGTGTTTAATTTCATTTTAAATGTGAATTTTCATACATTTCTAAACCATAAGCAAATGATCTTCGGTTACATTTTTCTTAATGAAAAAATAAAGGAAATTTAATGATCTTGCCACTTTTTTCCCCTCTAATAAAACTCTCTTGCAAGCGATTACTATATCATAGAACCTGTTATTTATCTTTTTCATTATTGAGTTAATTCTTTGATCACTTTTTTTTATGTCGACTTTCTTTTTCCGAGATTCTTTTTTAATGTTCTTTTAATGTAACTTTATTGTGTTTACGTTACTTCTTTGGCAATTATTTTCGTATTATTTTCGAACGACTTCCTCAAATTTGATTAATTTTACTTTAATAATTCTATTTTTATTGCTGTAAATTAATACAATTAAAGCTTTCTAAATTGTAAAATTAACTAAATTTATTTAAATTTTCAAAATATTTTTAAAAATTATATTATTTTGTATAAATTATAGGCCTATATATATATAGAAAATTCGGGCTGGCCCAAAATTTAGTTAACCATTGTAAAAATTAAAATGCTACTTTACTTTCTTACTCAAATACTTTATTATTCACAAACTTCGTGAAAATTCTTCAATGTAACATCTTTCTTGTCCGATTCATAAATTACAAGACTTTGACACAGTGTCACAAATTGCTGACTTTCTCGAGAAAATTGCTGAATTGCCGACTCAAAAAAAAGTTACCTGACTTTTGGACCACCCTGTATACCGTTTTTTACTACTGAAAAGTGCATAAAATTCTTAAATAAGTAAATTTTAATGTATTTTTAATAGTAAAAAAAATACAGTAGTATATAATGATAGACCAAAAGTCAGGTAACCCTTTTTTTTGGCCAGCAATTAAGCAATTTTATATAATTTATTTTACATTTTCTTTACTTAAATTACATACTTTTTTTTCTTTTCAATAAGATATAGGAATTATTTATAAATTATACAAAATATACAATT